GAGGAACATGCTCTCTCAGAGAAATGAATTTTAAGTAATTCAGGGTATATTTTCATGAATGTTGCAGTGTGGGATAAGTGGGAGAGAAGGTAAAAAACTACACACGTACAACCCAGCCATAGAGTCAAGAAAGACTGTCTGGTTCAAATGTGGCTCTGCCAGCAGCTCAGGGACACCGGGCGAGCGGCTGTCCTGAACTGCAGGGTCAGTTCCCAAGACTAGGTATATAGCAGGCCCTCAATAAATATCTGTTGAATGAATATATTAATGAGTGAACAAATGAATGACTACCTCACAGGACTGTTGAGAAATAAATGAAAAAGGAAAATGACCAGTGTAAAAGTCTGTACAACACATACATGTAAGACAGTAGTCCCTTCCTCCTCCTGTTTCTCACAGGGTTCATGATCTCTGCTGGTTACAAGGCTAGAGACAAACAGATGGCTAGTGAAAATAAATAAATAAATAAATACTCCTGGGTACAATGAGATAAAAATAGCTTAAGAGAAAAAAACGTGTGTGCGCTCACTTGGCTACTACAAGACTTTTTCTTTTCATCCTTAGTTACTCAAGATATTTATCACCCAAACTATCAATTACATGATATAACAGCAATAGAACAGAGTAATTTTCAAAGCAATTGAGAAAATCCTCTCAGGGCCACACGCAGCCTAACGTTCAAGCAGCAGGGACAAGCTCCCCGAGGCAGCTGCCAAGGTAGAACCCCTCAAGTCCGGGAAACAGAGGAGGGGCACTTCAGTTCCTGAGCTCATTTGGGTTTGACAAGACATGAACTAATCGGAAACACCTCCTGCCTTCATTCCTTTTCTGGGCAGGTCTAGCTTGAAGCTTAACTAACTCCAAAGATTAGAAAAAGAAGCACTGGGGTCAATTTTACACCTTCACAGAATTTAGTACCAAATCTTTTCCATTAAAAGTCATTTTAAAACCGTACCATACCCTCCTGATTTACTACATCTCCAAACTCAGAAACAAGACCATACAGTTTAAGGGCCTCAGTGACCGCTTAGAATATGGGACACATAGATCTGTTGTGTGGTCATTTATTCCTTAGATTCTGCTTAGAGTGAAACTATACCTAATATTCTATCACCCATTTGTTGTCTGCTATTCTTTCTGAAAATTCAACTCTAGACAAAATTTCATTCCTCCAATAAAATGTTTAGGGTATTTAGATTACAATGACTAAAATAAATCCTCAAGGCTTTTTTTTAAAGTACACTCCAAACTGGAATATATGACCTTTTCTTTTTGACTTAGGCTTTTGAAACTAACACATACAGATGAAATTTAATAGATAGCAATTTTCAAGCACTAAGCTCTTGTCTTCAACTATAAAAGCACCCTTAATTTAGGATACTTTAGGTCACAGGGGAAAGCAATATAAACCTCAACTTGGATTAGAATGATTTCTTCAAATTAAAAGTATACCAGCTTCCTTGTACATGAGTGTATGGAGACGAAATTGCTGATTAGTATCTATGATATCATGACCTCCGTCTTCCCTTCTCACTGCTAATAAATCCTGAAGTTAACCTTATTTTGTCACATCCTATATTAGTATATATCTATTTTACAACATTTATTGTGCAACTTCCAGGAAGATGTAACTTCAGTTATGAAGTAAGTGCCAAGACAGTTAGCAAATACAACAGTAGAGGAACCTAGACATTTCACTATGGGCAATTAGATACCAGCCACGAATTAGGCATGTACTCACCAGTTCTAAATTCTAATACTCTAAATATTTGGGAACTCTAAATATTGGGAAGAGAAGTTAAGGATCTAGCACGATTTGCCATATTAGGCTTATTCTCTTGGCACCGACAGGGTGGGGGTTGGGGATTGTGATTTGAGGGCCGGTGATGAGAAAGCACGACAGTCACATTCTTTCACATTACAAGGGCTGTGAGAGCAGCTGCAGATGCTCGGCCATCAGTGGTCCGTGAGGCTTGTCAGTGGACACTGGATGCCAGTTTTTAGTTTTTGTTGAATGTATGCAGGAGATTAAGCAGGACTTGCGAGATACTCAGAGTGAGATACTGTCATCCGTACATTGGTTTTCTTTAATACCCATCTAAAAATGCTGAGACTTAAACCCACTGTTCCGTCAAATTGGTGGTGGGCAGGTACATTAGAAAATGTAAGGTATGGTGAGAGGAAACGTCCTAATGCCTACAGCATAACAGCTACACAAAACTGGGCACTGCACTGAAAATGAAACAAAGCAGGGCTACTGCTACTAGAAAAGGATGTAGCTCACAAAAGAAATATTTTATTAAGTCCAGTAAGCTTTTATGCCACACAGGTATTGATTCAATGGGATAGTAAACTTTTCCAGAGAGGAGCATTTTCCCACAGTACAAGAGGAGCTTTCTTTGTTGAGTAAAGTAGATCAACACATCAAGTGATAACAACCTTTCATTGAAAAGCTGATAGTTTATACCTCTGCTAAATTTAAACATATTGAGACTAACTAGAAGTTCCCACCTGCATGGTTGAATTTTCACCTCCTTCAATTAAGCATTTCTATTAACAGAGAAAATTCAACCCTTCACCACAAATGAGCCAGTGTAAGTGGAATACCTTACATAAAGGCCAGCTCCCGGAAACCCTGCTGCTAAATAATAAAACGTGCTAGCAGGCACGGAGAGAATCTCTCAGTGGTTTCAGATTCTAGCTGAAAAAGCAGAAAGTGCTTTCTAGTTGAGTACTTTTCACACATTCTTGCTTCTTAATAATAAATTCATCAGCTCCTTTAGTACCTCTCCATTCTAGAACAAGGCAGACGATCTGGATTAGTCTACCAGTACTTAGTTTTATATTCTAAATGTATAATCTGGATAATTTGCCACAGCACACTACTGCTTGGTATCCAAATTCTTCTCTCAATAACAAAATCTAATACTCTGCTAGAATAGAAACTGGATTCTCTTTATATCATGACAATCGTGCATTTCAGGCCACTGGTTCTTCTTTAGAATGACTCACTGGAGTTGAGAATTACACTGAATTTCTGGCAGGATCACACTACTTCCTTCAAATTCAATCAGAGGAGGTGAAGAAAGTTAACTCTGATGGGAAATTAAGACAAACAGTGGACTTCTGCTAAAAAAAACTCTCACCTTCCTTTTACACAACGGTAACTGTTTTAGTATGAGCAGTAGAAATAATAATGTGTTCTGAACTCAAGTATTAATACAGCTTTCATTCCTTATGTGAAAAGAAAATAGTAGAAGCTACAAAGTCAGTAAAAAGAAGTTGCATTTGGCTCTGACCACAGTGAACATTCAACAAATCATTTCTTAAATTTGCTTAAAATAAGACTGTACTTCTTGTCATACGCTGCCATTCATTATGGCTTCGATATTCCTGCTCACCATTTTGAGCATGTAATGATTTGACGTGGAGCAAGGTTTCTCAGCCTCGGCACTACTGACACTCCGGGCCTGATAATCCTTTGTTGTGGCAGTCGTCCTGTGTGCAGTGGGATGTTTCGCAGCATCCCTGGCCTCTGCTCACTGGATGCAAGCAGCACCCTCCCCCCTTCAGCTGTGACAATAAAAAATGTCTCCAGACCTTGTCCAGGGTCCCCAGGATGACGAATCCTCCCAGGTTGAGGGCTACTGGCATAGAGTATAAACTAGCCAAATAGTGAGACAAGACTGAAACTTAAACTTCATTCTTTTCAATGACATTTCAAATAGCTGCATACTTCAAATCCTCAAATGATTAAACTGAATTTGATTTCTCTCAACAGCAATAACAAAAACTCAATTTCAGTTTTACGTATAACTTAAAATGTTTTAACTTCCAGTCTTTTGATTTCAGCAATCTAACCAACCTTTAGATCTAATCTTTTAATTTAAAAGAGTTAAACTGGGCGACTTTGATATTCAACTTTATAACTAGTTAATGGAAATGAATCCTTGTACCCAGGGCTGCACCTGTGTCCATTAAGGAAGGCTGCCTCTGCTAGTTCCTGTATCTACCCACTGCAAATGTCAGATCTGCTCTTAAGGAGGAAAGCAGCCCCTGGTGTGGAAGGCTGGCTGCAGAGCCATGCTCTGGCCCTGTCCCCCTGTTCCCTGCATGAGATTTTGCCACAATGTCAAGTATCTGAACATGAGTCACTGCTGAGAGGACTGCTTACAACTGGGTCTTTTCTTTATTCCAAAGAGCCATCAACATTAAAGAGCTGTTTTTGCATATTAACTACTACTTTTGTCCTGCGTGGTGTGTAATTGTTAAAAACAATGGCTTATTATTTATGATTTCAGAGACTGCCCTGAGATAGAAATATACCTATTAATTTATTTGATGAAAATTCTCCCAAGGATATGAAACCCTAAATCCATAGTCAGAACCTTTCAATATGTACAAATAGCTACAACAAATTTACACGTAATGGAAAATGGATGTTGACTTGGCTGATGTTCCTTTCCTTGAGCTTCCAGATACACCATCTAATGCACAGCCTTACAAAGAGTGAGAATTTGAAGACAAAGATGATTCACATAACCTTTCTACCTCTTTGAAACGCCTTCTGAGAGAATGAGAGTCAAATCACTCCACTTTATTCTTCTTACTTCTATCAAGACAATGCTAGGTCCTCTTGTTAGCTCTTGCACTTAAGTTTGCTCAGGTTTAAAAATAGTTGCCAAAGTTTTTGATTCGTCTAAGTCTTTTGCATTCTTGAACAATCATGATTCATTTACCATATTACAGACAGAGAAGAGGCAATCAGAAGTCTATAAAACTGCCTATCCTAGTTTAACCTAATGTGTGTACCTACAGAAAAAAGATGCAAGTGTCCCAACACAACAAGAGTTCCCGAAAGAGCACAACTAACAGGGCCTGCTGCACCTCACAAAGTGCTGTCTTCCAGGCACAGGGAACCAGAGCACCTATATCCCTGAGGAGAGCAGCCCCCAGGAATTCCTAACAGCTTATCAGATATAAAGATAACAGATACCTACCATCAAAGCTACCTTGCTCAGAAGCAAGGTGCAATAGCTGATTGTACGTTTCGACTGAAGGCTGATAAACAAACACTCCGGAATTGAAGCAGTCAGGCCATCCTGGGTCTGGTGCGGCTGACAATTCTTCTCTCTCAAAAAGATCATCGATATTTGCTAGGACCTGATTCAAAGTGAGGGGAGGGAAAGAATCACAAAAATGTTCTGGGGCCAACACACCCTTCTTAAGTTCTCCCTAAGTCCCTGAACACAAAAGATGCAGCCTGTTGCTGGTCTTAACTATTCAGAAGACAGCTAGCTGTAAGGCAGCCTGGGCTGACTGCTCTCCATCACCTGACACTTTCTACAACAGCGATTTTATCTGAAGTTTACTGTCAAGTCTTGATGGTGTTCCTCAAATGCCTAATCGGTTTCAGGTACCACACACCTCTCTTTCAGCCGTCAAATCCACACTTACCAGAGTATCTGCGTCCATGAACACGCATTTTGAATACTGGGTGAGGGACCAGCAGTGGAGTTTGGTTAATGTGACACCCAACTCAGGTCTCTTCATTAAGGTCAGGTGAGCAGAATCGCCACTATCCAAGACATCTACCATGATGACTTCATCAAAGACTGTTTCTAAAACTTTCCTGTCAAAATAAAACCCGGAAAACAGCGTTTAGCATCTGTGCAGAACAAATGACCCATCTGACAGAAGACTGTGTTCTTATTAACCTATCCATCAATTACTAAAGCAATCTGTTACTTTGGTGTAGTACAATCTCTTAAATATATCCTATTAATTCAGGACAATTGTATCAATTTGTATGTGTTAACCTAAGAACTGCTTATGGTGAGGATGAAGCACTTGTCTGAAAAAGTTACAGGAGCAGCTATTTTTTATTGTACCATCGAATACCAGGCCAACTGTAGAAATAGCCTATAAATATGTAACTCACATTTGGTCAGAGTACATATTTGCAACAGTCTATGTATTCAACAATATTTCATTAGAATGGATTTTTGTTAACTACTGCATATTTTCACAAATGATGCTGGGCAAGTGCAAAAATATCTGCAATGAAGTCTATAAGGAGTCTTCTGCTAAGCAGTTTACAGAGAACTTCCTGAAGTTAAAGGACTAAGTTATTCAGTTCCATTTTTAGAACTGAATATAACCAGCATTTACTATGTGCTTAGCACTCCTGGCATAATGAGAGACTCTTTTGGTTTGTAAGGTACAACACTTCTCCATGACCAAAATTAACTAAAGGTTTATTTTAGAAAGCAATCCTGAGGTGGGTTAAGTGGGGTATACTTAGGTAAGACACTATACTCAGCACAAGGAAAAGTGTATGATAAAGATAGGTCATCATGGAAAGTTTATATCAAACATGCAGAACAAAACAGACATTATACTATTTGTCTCCAAGGTTTTATAAAAACATGTTCCAGTTTACACATTAAACTTTAGGTTTTTGAAAAGAAGTAGCCAGCAGCACCATTCACTACAGTAAAGGAGTTTGTTTCTAAGACCACACACACACACACACACACACACACACACATCCTCACTAAACAGGACAGACTTGTCAGGAGAAAGCTTTTTTGACATTCTCCTAACCCTTTAGGAACAAGGTTGGGAGTGTGAGATACATATGTATATATAATGCCTCCTTTTCAGAGGTCCTTGGAGTGTGCTTACATTTTTTGAAAAAAGTCACAGAAAGGGCATCGTCAATTTCTTAGGACAAGAGAAAGCAAAAATAAAGACAATACAGAGCTGTCAGGGTACACATATGTTTTTGAAGTTAGTATTGGGATCTAGGTAGTGCATCCCGATAGTCCAAAACTTAATTCCAACAAATCAAAGTGAATGGACCCGATCAAAAGGCAGCCTGTGCTCTTCAGAGTGCTCTCCCAGCACAACCCCCAGCTCAGAAAGCTCTTTGGCAAATATTCAGGTCTATTAAATTTTAAATAAAGGTATTTGGTTACAAATGTTAACTGACAGTGGAGAAAACGATTTTCTTTCAAAGTCACCTGAGGTTTCCCTAGTTGGAAATAGGAAACAAAATAGCCCCCCTGCTGCCTTTTGAGAAAGGAGCAACAGCGAAGAGAGACTACACAAAGGGAAAGCCTGGATGGAACCATTCACTCTGATTGCCCTGAGGGGGCCTGCCTGAGTCCCAGTTCTCCTGGTTGGAATCTGTGAGAGCTTAGGCCAGAAAACCACCGCCCAGGAGGCAGGTGGGGCGGAGTATTTCCCCACAGTCAGGAAGAAGAGGTTTCAGACCCATGAATCCTTCCCTCAACAGCTCTTATCTTTCTCTGCCCAGTGCCCAATTCCTGAAAAAGGCATGGCTTCCATGCCCACTGATGTCAGATGGGAGAAGCATGTCAGAGCCCCACCAGCAGACAGGCACGGAGGTCCTCACCTCATGGAGTCTGAGACCTGCGGCGTGGCGAGCACGGCCAGCCTCCTGGTGGTCCTGTGCTGTTTCAGAGATGAGCCCAGGACCAGAGCTCCTTGTGCATAGGCATCGTTTGTGGTCAGTGTCACAAAGGCCTGATCTTAATACAAAGAGAAAAAAAGACACTCATTACAATATTCTACCTGGAACAAACAACCCCAGAACCCCTTTCAGCCAGTAATTTGGCAGAATCAGCTCCTCTGAGATCAACTTGCTCCACTAACAAAGGAGCAGCCTCTTTGGGGTGGGCTGAAGGAAGAGAACCCAAGTGCTCACTTTAAGAATGGTTCAAGGCCATTCTTCAGCAGGAATATCTTTGGCAATCTCCATGAGGCTGATTGAGCTATAAAACTGAATCCAATTTAGAGTCCAGATGTGCTAAATTCTCAGACTAAATAATACTTTAATACCCAGAGGATGAACCTCAGACAATTAACAGGTGTTAAATGAAGAAATCAAGAAGTGCATTTTCTGCTTCTCCAGTAAGATGACATAGTGTTTTCAGCCAAGCAGAAATCCAGCTAACAACTCCAACTGAAAGCATCAGCCACATTTTTCATTCTGGTGCTTGTGCGTCTGCCAAGCCTCAGGCTTTTACATTAGCTGTTTAGTTAATCGGGAACAAACGTTCCCCCACCAAGCCACAAGAGTCACTTCAGTCTCTGTCCAAATATCACCTCCCCAAGAGGCCTTCCCTCCTTGATGACACTATCTAAATAGTGGTCAATCGCTGTTAAATGGATTTGGGGACTACCTCACAAGCTCTAACAAACCTGCCTCCTCTTCCTAGGAGAAGCAATCAGTGCCCTCTACCCTGCACTCTGGGGCACACTCGCTCTCACATGCGTTCTCTCACTCCCACACTCTCTCTCATATACACACTCTCAAAAATCAGTCTCCAATAACCACTTAGTTGCCAGAGCAGAACACAAACACATGGGTGATTATTCCTACCCAACAAGCTCTACCTTTTCAAGACCACCAGCCCAGTCTTCAGGATTTAGTACTTCCCTAGATGATCCTAGGGCACACTCCTTCTCTGAGGGGATTTTAACCTAAGTTGATCGGCATCCAAATATACAAGATACTTAGGATCAAGCTCTAGTGGGGAAAATGGGGGCTCTGTTGCCCAACCAGGGGGATGGGACATTTTGTCATGAAGTCACTATGTCTTAGGTTTCCTCATTCTTCCTTTGCCCATTTTCCAACATGGAAGCTGGAGAAAGAGGAAATTCGTGGCTAACTGAAAGGGAGTTGTGTAGGTTGTCAAGTGGGCCAGCACATCCCCCAAACTCTGACCTGAGTGTTCACACCCAGTGTTGGGCTCTCAGAGCAGGCTCAATACTTAACTGTGGAAAGATGGGATTCCCACCCATGGAGAACACCCACTTCCCAGCTAGGCTCACTCTAAGCTCAGAACAGTGAGTGACACCTGTCACTTGACATGCCCATCAGCCTCTGCCTATACTGTTCCTTCAATCCATCAGAAGATGGCAACATTCATTCAGTCTGCCCTGAGGGTATTTAATCTGGGGCAAAATGAATGTTTTAAATCAAAAGCGGTGCAGATTTCATGGGTTTATACATTAAAGTTTAGTAAGGTAAGTAGGATTCAGGAACTTCAGGAAGCAAGGATATGGATGAGGTCCAAGGCGAAGCTGGGGCAAGGACAAATGCTTAGGAACGTAGGCTGCCATAGCCAGCAGGCCCAGCAAATGAACACGGAAGGCCAATGACAGCCGGGTAGGAGTTCATCTCCCGCAGCTGGCTGAACTCTGGGAACATCTGCAATCTTTTGGTAGTTCAACTCATGTAATAACCGCACTAATAGCCTCACCAACGGGAAGGACCAGCACAGTCTGCTGTGCTGGGGCAGAGTCGTCTTGAGACCCGGATCGTTGCAACAAGTGGGCCGGCGCCCTCCCACCGCACGGGGTCCGCCCCCGTGGAGCGCTCGCCTGGTTCCAGTTTTCTGCAACCCGGCCCCACAGGCCTAAAAATAGGCTCGCCGAGATGGCCAGCGCCAGCGCAGGCGGGCGTGGAGCCGGGCCGGAGCCGCCCGCGTCCCCGCCTGCGGGAGGCAGGGGCGGCTCCCCAGACCCCGCCGCGGCCCGGGGCTCCCGTCCGGCGCCCTCGGGGAACCGGCGCCCCACCCCCACTCAGCCCCGCCGCAGCTGCTCCGCCCGCCTGCCCTTCACGGTGAGAGCAGGAGGAAGGGCAAGGAGACGGAAGCAGGAACGAGGGCTCCGGCGGACGGCACAAGCTCCGCCTGGCTGCCCCATCGCTGTGCGCCCGGGTTGCAGCCCCCGGGGGCGGCGGGGCAGCAGCTGACGCAGGAAGCGGCACGCCCGGCTGCAGCCAGCCTGCAACTTTGCGGCGGTCTCCGTCCTGCCGGGAACTCCCCGGGGCGGAAGGCGGGCAAAGGAGCCGGAGGCTCCGGGGGCGACGGCGGCGGCGCGTACCTGTCATGGTGCCGCGGGCGGCTGCCGCAGCCGCAAGTCGGTGACTCGGGGAACCTGGGCGCCGAGAACGAGCGCGGCCAGCGAGGAGGCGCGGCGGGAGCGAAGCGTCCGCCCGCAGCGCTCTTATAGCGGCCGTCACGTGGCCGCGCACGCTCCCAGCGCCCGCCGGCATCCTCCCCGCAGAGCGGCCGGCGGGGGCGGCCCGCGGTGCGGCGGCCCCGGGCCCCGGGCCCCGCCTTCCACCCCCCGGGCTGGGCTGCAGGTCCCACTCTCCGCACTTCTGGTCCTGCACCCGCGGGGCACCTGAACCGGGGGCGCTGAGGCAGAGTGTGGCAGAGCCGGACAAATGCCCAAGAAGCCACGGGTGAGGGAACCTTAAGAACACAAACAAAAACCCGGATCACTCTAAACAGTTTCATTCCACTTTTTTCACCTAGAATTATTCCAAATCAGCCTCCGGAAGCATTTCTTAGTGTTCTCACACTTGTTTTGTGCTCTTGACTGAAAAATGATATGAATCTTAAGTATGTTATTTAGATTCTTCAGAGCACCAGATATTTGTTTCATTTAATCCTAACACCAATTTAATGAAGCAGATGCTATATCCTCATTTTATGGAATGTGTCACATACAAATGGAGAAGGTAGGATTTGAACCATAGCAGTTTCGTTTATGGAATTGGCCTTCCCACCAGTAAGGCCATGACAGCTCTGATAAACAGGTTCCCTAAAAAGGTTCATAAATTATGGTAATTGTGGTTGGGTAATGTAGTTGTTCAGGTTAATCTGTTTCACAAATCATGAAAAGTTGAATTTGTCATTTTTCTAGGAAGTTGAGAAATAGCTCTCTAACGTGATCATACCCTTCTCTCCCCATAGCTTCAGCCCAGACCAAACATTCCAGGAAAGCAGCAGGTAATACAATTTTCTGCAAATAATAGTTGCTCAGTAAATGCTAAAAGGAAGCCAAACAGGAAGATGACAACATCAGTTAAAAAGATGAAATAGATGCTTAAGAATAAGTGATTAATTTGCAAAGGTAGTATTGCTGTTGTCAAACCAATTTCATCAATTTCTTCAGGCCTGGACCTTCTACATCAGAATTGCTAGGGGCCCTTGTTAAAATGCAAATTTTTGGTCCCAAGCCCAAATATCTTGAATCAGAGATCTTGAGGGTAGAACCCAAGAATCAGCATTTTAAATATTATCTTTCAGGAGTCTCTTGAATCATTTCCCTTCCCACAACCCCACCATGGCATGGAGACCACTGATTGAACTGGCAAGACCTCTTGGCTACTTGACATTATATATTTCCTTTGCAGGAAGCAGAAATGTGGGTACAATGTATGGGTTTCCACTTATTAAAATGCTGTGGACTTAGAATAGTTGGAGCACTTTAAGGAATATAATGATTTGTAACTACTT